CACCCGCCCGTCCACCCTCCGGCCGGACACACATCACTCGGACACAGAACCAGGTCTGTCTCGCTTGCAGAGGCGAATTTCGCCTCAAAACTGACCCAAAATAGGAATCACATCAACGTGGAATATGCTTCACTCGATTCCCATTGAGATGATGATGATGATGGAAACTCGTCTGAATATTATTCACCATTGCATTTTATCCTTACTACTCGAATGATACGAGTAGTATGCAGAATTGAGCCTAAGAAAATAAAGACGAAATTAAAATTTCGTCTCAATCATGAAGACCACGAGGATGCAGTCTCCTTTTGCAGCATAGAAGTGGTTGTACTTTAGTCTTGTCGTCAAGTCTAATCAACCACTTTTTTTAGAAGTCCTTTGCCTTCGAATAGTCATCCCATGTTGTTTAAGGTGACGAGGGGATTGGTATTTCAATTTTCCCACAATTAGATGAGCAAACCTTTCGTTTCCATTCACATTCACATAGCTTTGCTTCCTAACAGGTACTCTCATCTCGACTGGAGTGGACTGCAATTTAGACCTTGCCTCAACTGGTCTCATCGGTACCTCCAGTGGGATTCGAACCCGGGTGGTCATTGTGCAACGCATAGTCTCTCCGCGCCAACCAATCCTCCAAACTTTCACAAATGCACTTGATCACAGTTCAGATGAGTATTGCAAGGAAGGTCAGGTATTTTTTTCCATATCACCTTCTGGAGTGGGATTGACGATGAAACAAAGTTGTACTTGTCATAACGATCGACTAAATTACTTATTTTTCGTTTTTACAAGTAGGCTACTGAGACTACCAGTAGATCTGATACAATTGGTGCATTTACCCTATTTTGTTTTGGTGATAAGTTTACCACCATCAGCGAAATAGAATGAATATACCACTTAAATCAGATCTACTGTCTTTCTCAAAAACGTACTTATAAGCGAAAAATGAGTTGTGATAAGTTCCAGCCTGGGACCGTGGAACTGGTTAATCCCGGGCGTGTTTTCTTCCGTGTCGATGAATCGTGCCGGTCTTTGCACCAAATCACAACTCGTCATAGATTCTAATGAAGACCGGCAAAGCTTACTGACGATGCTATCGAAGAGTCTGGCAGTCTGCCAAGTCGAAGGTCCTAGGCGATATATTATCAGCCTGCTCGACGGCAGAGGACTTTGGCATGGTCGCGTTAATCGAGATCGCACTGAAAATATGACTAAATTGCGGAAAATTAATTTTGGGCATGTGATGAAGTTGGCTCAAGGAAGAGAAAAGTTGAGGCTTGCTTTGCATTTCAATCTCTTTTGCCTCCAAATTTGTGGTGTCGCCTGTAGAATACGACCCTGCCCTCAACGATATACACGCTAAGTGTTACTTTTATTGTCATTTATTGCAAAATAAACTGGAATTTAGTCTTAGAAACGGATGGCTTTCAGTCTGTCAACAGCATGACTGTTGCTGGTTAGCATCAGTTTCGAAGGTTGTTTGGTTAAACTGACAGGGAAAGATTGCTCGTCGAGTTTAATCGGGCCATGATTGCAACAAAATAACCCGCAACTGTCTATTGCGATG